TAGTGGTAGCTTGTACATCGTGGGGGTTCAGGAACTTAGGACAATGGGCCTTGGATTTCGGCTCAACCGGGCTAAAGTCTCAAGGTTTAAGGGGTCTTAGCCTGACGTGCTAACATCGGACACAGTCAGACATCGATCGAGAACAGGGCTGCAATCATGTTAAGATGATGTTCGCACAAACCCTATTAGACCCTAGGCCCTAAACCCTAAACCGAAACCAGAAAACAACTACGCTGGACCACGGGCCACTGGCAAACTGAGCTCAGCAGATCCCAGTGCTGGGAAAAACGACAGAAAGTACTTCTTAGCATGGTTTAGGGTTTAGAGTGCAGCATGACTATTGTTGGCTATGGCTATGATCCCGATTATGATTGTGATTATGATTAGGCTTGCGATCATGATTATGCTCGTGTATGATACGGCACATTGCTATCAAACTTGTTTTCAGGTTTGTAGTTGTCACTATTACTTTGGCCGTTATCGTCACGATCATTGCTCTTCTGTTTGTCATCTCCTGATTTCGAGCGGGCTCAAGGTGAGCGATTTTAGTTTGTGGACGGCATAGCAAAACCTGTTGCCGACAAAAACATGACTTATGCCGGCTCATATCGCCAGTGTTACCGCCGTAAACTTCTTAGCTGCTTTGCTTACACCAAAGTCGCATGGGATAAAAAAAAGTTCCAACTTTCAGAACAAGACTACCTTGCAATTAAGAGCACCGAAAGTTGGGTTTTGGACCACAAAGTACAGTTCAGCATAGCAACCAAGCCTTGCAGTGACCTCTCTTGACAGCTCTGGCTAACTGTCGGCTAACTGTCATTCTGCGCACGCCTTCGGCAACGCACAGAACATGCATGAAGATATCATGTCAGGGACTTTCGCAGGAAGGGCGACAGGAAGGGATCTCTATTACCGATCATGTAAGAGAACCTCCGCGGTAAGCTCCCACAGAAACCCCAAATCCGTGACCGTAGTAGACCTCCAAGTGCTCCATTCCTAAACACATCTTTCGGATCGGGCAAACCCTAACCCTAAACTGCTAAACCATAAACCCGAAAGCCCTAAATTCTAAGCAGCAGAATGGGGTGTTGGGCTTCTGCCACGTGCTGCAGTCCTGCAGTTGCAGCCTCTTGAGGTTTGGGGGGCGCTGCTCTTAGGGTTTAATTACGGTTTACACTAGGGTTTCAGGGTTTATGGGGCTTATAAGGTTAATACAGATTTCAGGCTTGAAGCTTAAGGTTTATATGGCTTGGGGATTGCATCTACAGAGATTCTACACCCCTGCAGAAAGCCGCCCGATTCCGAGGCGACAAAAGTTCGACGGACTCATTGTCATCCGGAGTCCTGCAACGGACGCCAGCTGCAAAACTAGAGAACGTTGGTCGAAGAGTTCCATGGCATGATCATATCTCATACTTATCAAAGAGGCTTGCGGGTTTTCCACATGTCTCTGACCTGTGTGCGCACTTAGTTCTCAGAGGTGATGAGGTTGCAGAAAGTGCCAGGAAGAGCTCACCTCACGCTTCGATTCATCAGTACACTTTGAGCTATAGAGGGATCCTGAATTTCAATGTGATGCAAGCTAAACACTCCCTACCAGGGCAATTTGTAGGGTCTAAGGAGGCCTTTGAAAGGGAAGTCTACGAATCAGAGGTCCCAAACTCATGAAACTCTTGAAGGCCCCCTCAGCTCAGCCATCATTAAGAACCCTGATTGATATATTCGCTAACTCCATAACTCTTTTATAAATCCGATGGCTCCCTTCACGAATGAGAAGCGCGGCGACCTGGCTGCGGATGGAGGCGGTCGGGTCCTGTTCAAAGTCGCTCGGCTTCGCTTCGGAGTTAGGGCTTTTACGGTTTAGGGTTTAGGGTTTAAGGTTTAGGATGTAGGGTTTATAAGGGCAGGATTTGGGGTTGGAGCGGCTGCGTTCATTTGTCGGGATTGGGAGCTCAGGGAACCTTTGCCTGGGCTTGAGAATGCGGTGGAGCTGAGGGGTGGAGCTGAGGGGAGGCGGGCCGAAGGTTTACTCTGTGCAGCTCTAAGCCCCCCCCAAACCCAAAACCCTCAACTCAACCAATACCAGGTCATCAGAGCCACACGAGAATGTTTCAACCCCACCACCCCGAAACACTAAACCCCGAGACCCGAAACACCAACAACCCAAAACACATCCAAACGCCCAAACCCCGAAAACCACAGACACACGCACACACACACACACACACACACACTTGAACACCCAGGCTTCTGGGAATGT